CACCATGAGGCCTTTCAAGGACGCTGACACTCATTCACTAAAGCAAAAAAAAAAAAAAAAAAAAAAAATCCGTGAAGTGACGGTCCTCTAAGCTCATCCCTCAAAGGATGAATGAGCAGGTTTGCAAAGAACAAATCCACATTCCCATCTCCCTAAGACTTTGGACTCTTTCCTTTACAGCATGTTAGGAAAGTTCTGATGTTTCAATCTACCTAACTGTAAACCACTATTGAGTTTAGGTTTAGATTAACCAATCTGACACACTGTTGTCACTACTCACAGATTCTCAAGCCAACACATTAACTCATATTTCCTATGTGAGTACACACATATCAGCACACCTGGCTTATTTTATGTCATCCTTGCTGATTTAATGCCCTTAGAATCCACTCCCATGCTTGTTCCCCAGATTCCTACCAATGCAAAATGGCAATATCCTGCAACTGCAACTCTCGTGAATAGGTGCCTCTTCCTGGACCTGATCTTATACTTCTCTGTTTGGGGGATGCTAGCATATAATTTGTTATTTTCCAATAAGTAAAGATGGATCGTGGATGTGGATCCAGAGCATAAGTGATATCCCCTTATAAGAGAACTGTCTTAAATGAATTCATTGAAACTTTTTCCATTGCAGGGGGTTGGTTGGAGGGAGGAGCCGGGTATGGGGAGATTTAGATTGTTTCTCTTACACAGGAGGGGCTACTTCTGTCAGCAAGAAGGCTCATGGGAATGTGGGAGGTTCAAAGTTCTCTTCTCAGCCTTGCCTATGTCTACCCAAATGTCCTCATCTCATTTCTGAAGGCCCCACTTCTTCCACACCAGTGCCCTTAACTCAGCATGAGAAACCTAGTACTAACCAATAACTGACACTACAATTCTGCAACTCTTAAAATAAAGCCCTAGGCTTGATTCTTTGCCATTTTTGTCCTGTGGCTACAAAAGAAAAAATATTCCCTTAAAGCCACATAGGATTTCTGATGTTGCACCTTTGCTTTCAATTTATCCTTTTCCCTGTGTATATGCTCTAGACATCCAAAAGAGCCAGACATCACAATAATCTCTGTAATCTTCACCATAGCCATAGTGACCAAGTGCCACAACAACTTGATCCTCCACACCACTCTCCACCTGAATTTCCTCACCGCACACCACCACTGATAATTTAACTGTGACATCGCCGATTATAAGCAGACACTTCTCCCAATAAGGAAGTTGATTGTGAGCACTCCAATCCCAGAATCGCACTTTCCTGGGGTTACTTGTGGTACAAATTATTAGTAAGAGTTGCAGCAGGAAACAGATGGCACACCAAAAGCAATGAGTGAAGACAGTGTAGGCAAGAAAAAAAATCTACAAGAGATGGTGAAATAGCCCAGTCTAAGCAAAAACAAGATGTTCCTACTCACAAAATGAAAGGGCAAGGAAAAGTGGTTCCTGAACCCGTGAAATCTATATATGGAGTAAAGGGCTATGTCAGAAGCTGTGATGCTGAGGAACACAGCTATTTCCAAATCAGCGTGAAAGGTAGAGAATGGACTTAGAGGGGAAGAGAACAACCAGTTCAGCAGGCTTCCTGCTCAGGCAATACCAAAAAAGGCACAGAAATGGCTTTAAAGGACTCTAAGCATCAACAGAAAACAGAGTGAAGGACTATCAGAACCAAAATTATGAGATTCTGCTCACCCACTGTTGAAGGATTCTAGGCCAGCAAAGAGCTAAATTCTGACACTGTTGCCACTTTTAAGTAACACTCAAATAGATCCCATCCTCATGTTTCAATCCTAATTGGGAAATACAGAAATAAGCACAAACACTTTGCATTAATTATGGATGCATATACAAATAGTAAGAGCACAAAAATACAAATATGATAGAGGGTATCCCTGGAGACAGGAGGATAAAGGACTCGTGACTGGGAGTTGTGCAGTCTTTAGCTACATCTGTTTTATTTCGGAAATAAAAAAAAAAAAAGATCTGAAGCAAATATGGCAAAATGGCATCGTGTATTAAACCGTAGGGGTTGGTTACACAAGTGGTATTATTTCATGCATCAGCAAACAAAAGCTACAAACGAAGGCTCCTGGACCCCTACCATCCCTGCCCTGGGATTACCGGTTGATAAACATTTACTAGCATACCACCAAGTTTAACTTGGTGGCTGAGTTCAGGCTCTGGATCTAGGCTACCTAGGTTCAAACAATGAGCTCCAATATTCAATTGATACATAATCTTTAGTAAGTTGTTCAATATCTCAGTACTTTATTTTCCCCATCAGTATAATAGAATCTACTCCATAAAATTATCATAACAGCCTGATACATGTGATAGCACTTGGGATGGAAGACAGCTATTCTAATATAAATACCATTAGACATAGAAAGTAATCAGTTGACATTAACTGATAAGCTGAAGATACGTTCAAAGACCTCTGCCAATCCCAAATTCACAAAGATGGCATATTTATTTTCCCTATGAAAATAAATATTTCACATCCTCTTTAATTTGATTAAGAGTAGTAATAGTTGGAATTGTTTTCAGGAATATTTTGATCAAAGATATATGTAAATACATGTACATATGAATCTATTTGGTTCTCAAGTCCAGACAGCAATAGGTTGAACTAGTGAGAGGTTGTTGAGTTACTCAAACCTAATTGGTTTCTAAGTTTCAGGTACTGAATAATAAGAATTCTGATAGTTAAAAATTTAACTGAAAATTTGTCCAAATCTATTTGAGTATGACTAGCAAGATACATATATACATAGATCCAGTTTTAAAATCAAGCTTTGAGAGCTCCTATGCAGGGAAGTACTAAGACACCAAGAAAGCCACACATTTGGTTGTATGTTACACTGCTAAGAATGGTTTGGGATCCAGCAGACATAGACATAACGCAGCATAGGATTCAGTAATTGGCAGCACCATATACTTGGGAAAAGTGCATATGAACATAGAGTTAACAGTGTGGGCTTGGGGTGGAGAGAAACGGAATAATTGGTTAAGAAATGGCTAGGAGAGAGGCCATCAGCTCCAGGCACCCAGGCTGTACAGCAGATGGAGGCAGTTGGAGTTCGGCTCGTGCAGCATGGTGGCCAGGTACTGGAAGTGGCATTGGTGACGGGGCAAGGGAGCAGACACGGGGAGCCGCTGTCTGGCTCCTGCCGGGCTGGCAGGAGCACAAGAGAGTGATGGCTGAGCCATCAGGGACCTGTAGACGGCAGCCTCGGTGGTCAGCAGAAAGAAGATGGTGGAGACTCAGCTGTCACTCCTGCCCTAGGGTTTCACTTCAAGATGCTATGATTCAACTCTAGTGGACACACCAGAGTGTGGGCCTCCTAGATGCTAGGTCCTCCAGTGTGCCTCTCCAGGAAAAAGCCTATTTCCAAGACAAATTTTGCTTTCCTGTGTTGTTTTACACCAATTAGAAAAACAACTTGTGAAGCTTACAGTCAAAATGGAGGAACAGACGGTCCCCAGCGCCACTCTCTCCCACAAATCAACCAGTTTACAACTATTAAAAAGTAATGACAGCCAAGCTGGGCCACTAGAGCTGAAGGGAAGAGGAGGAGAGACCTACAGAATTCATGAAGGCAGGAGAAGCCATGATGAGAGAAAGAAAGGACCATTAACACCACTGTGAGCCTCAGCTGCTTCAAGGCAGGAGCTGGTGAGCACACAGAGCAAGAGTTGGCAAAAGCCACAGCTGTGCCCTTTGGATGAAGTTACTTGGAGGTGGCAGGGGAGAAGAGGGCCTTGGTGGCCCCCAGGCCAGCAAGACCACTAACAGGGTTCCCATGGACCCACAAAGGAGCAAGGAGCCACAGACAACTGAGAAAAGGAGCCACTCAGAGGCTGGTGAGTCATCAGAACGGACTGGTGCATGGCTCTTCCTATGAGAAGTGTTTGCAGTGTGGGGGATGGGGGAGACAGGCCACCAGGGGAACAATGAGGTACAGCATGGACAGCTGATCTACCCTCCAATCAGTGCAGGACCACTCAGTGGAGACTGGTCAGGAATATAGAACTGCAGGGGGTGCAGTTTGCTGAAAAGTCTCAGGCCCAGAACAGAGTTTCCACACAACCCAGGTATACCGAACCTCACAAGACCAAGAAGTATGTACAAGGTCAACCATTAAAATATGAGCTGCACAAAAAGTCTTCCTCAGGGAATCAGTAGCAATGAAGCAATTAGCTTAGCTCAACTACAGGGCTCAAGTGCTGATCCCAAAAGGAAGTTCTTCCATTTAGAAGGACAACAAATTAGTTCCACTGCAGAGTTTAAGTGGTAGGAACAGCAAATAGTCCAACATAGAACTGAAAGAAAAAACAAGATACCCATGGATCAGAGACAAAGTTTGATATTAACTAGTAAAGGTCTAACACCACCAAAGAACACCTATAAAACCTAGAAGGACCAGAAGAACCCTGGGCTCCCAAGCCAGGGAGTGGGATAGGGCTGAAAGCCTCAGCTATGTCTCCCCAATGACTATACCCGCCCAGTGACAACCACCAAGCTGCAGCAGGAAGCACCCCAGGCTCCCAAGCCGGGGCAGTGGGAGACTGAGGGCCTCAGCCATGCCCTCCCAACATCTGCAACCAGCCTGGTGATGACCACCAAGCCACTGCTAGTAGTGCCCCAGGCTCCTGAGCTGGGACAGTGGGGCACTGAGGGCTTCAGCCACACACCCCCGACATCTGCATCCAGCCTAGTGATGACCCGCCTGCCACTGGAAGCCCCAATTTCCCCTGACAGGATGAGGAGGTGGTCACAGACCTCAATCACGCTCCCCCCTCCTTCCTCCTTTTCCCACCCTATTTCCCCTCCCCCTTCCCTTCTCCTTCTCCCCCACAACTACTCTGCAACAACATCTTAGAATGAGGCATGGACCTGGGGGGAAGCCAAACCCAGCTGCAACTAGGTGAGCTGCTGCCATCACCCTGGGCCCCCACCGGGACCTGAGGTGGGGAGCCAGGGGAAGCGGAACCCAGCTGTAACCAAGTAAAGAGCACACCAAAAACACCATTTGCATGCAGGAAGCCCACCACAGCCACCATAATTGCCATGGCTGCCATAAAAGCAGCTAGTCTCTACAGAAGCAGGCACAGCCACTGAGCAGATGACATGCCAGACAGTCAACTGCACTGACACAAGGAGAGGCACCAGTGGAAACCAAAAAGAAAAAAGAGGTCCTCTCTCTACACACAGCACACTCCATAGTTATAGAAGAAGCATCTGATTTACAATAATAGGGGAGGACTTGATCACACCTGTCTCAGTATTGGACAGATCATCTAGGCAACAAACCAACAGAGAAACAGTTGATCTATCAGATGGACAGAACAAATCACAAATCTATGGTTCTTAGACGGGGAGGGGGAGAGAAGGGGGAAGAGGTGGGAAAAAAGAGGAAGGGGAAAGGGAAAGAATGGATAAGGGGCATAAAGAATAAGTATGATTTGTAAAAATTGATAGTCTAATAAAAAATTTTAAAAGGAAAAAGAAAATTTGAGGGTGAAAAATTTGAAAAAAAAAAAAGCTTGCCTTTATTAAATTTAGTGTTTTCATAAATATGTGCCATAAATGCATAAAAGAAAGCTGTACCCTCTCATGCTTCATTAAAAGTATCAATATTTAAAGTGAAATCCTAGACAACTGCTTGAGCTTCCAAAGATAGAAAATAGACCCTACACATGTCAATGAGAAAGCAAATGAATTTCAAATATTTTGAAAATAAAGTTGGTTGATATTGTTTAAAAAAAAAGGCTAGATCTCTATACCAATCATATAAGAGGATTGCCTCTTCCTCTTACAAAGCCTCAAAATGTATCTCCCATGCTCCCTTTGTTCTCAGAAAGCTACCTGAGGATATGGTCCGCACAAATGAAGTAAATTTAAGAAAGAAATGGGAAAATAGGAAATCCAACACAGGGGAGAGGCAAACAATTCTCAGGATGATGGCAAAGATTCCAGGATGACAGCTGTGTAGCAATCCACACATCCAGACTGGACAAAGCAGATTGCTACAGGCGCAATTTCTTCAAGATGACAAACGAAACTGATAGAATAACAGATATGTCTGAACATATGGAGAAGGCGTTCATACATCTGCTAGACATCTATGCAAGGTCAATTATTAACTCAAGAAAAAAATGTAGTATAGGGTAAGAATAATGCATAATCTTAATAATGTAAACATTCTTAATGTAATCAGAGTCAATAATGTAAACACTGAATTACAATATAATCATGTTTGGAAGAGAAAGGGGGACGAACAGGGTACATGTAATGTTGGGAAGCAGAAGAGGTACGCTTTATCTTAGGAATCAAAGAAACAATGCCTAAAATGGAAAAATTAAGTAAAAGCAATATAAACATGTTATCTGGAGATACAGTAATAAATAACAAAAATATCAGCTAAAAGAGCTGAAAGTGCTTGCCATGGGGACAAAAATGGAAGAAGGAAGTCAATGTAGTGGTATTTTTCTTTAGGAAAAAAACCCCGGCAGGTTTATTTGACTTTTTAAATTATGTGCATGTGTTACTTTGACTAAAAAATAATAGAAAAACAAAAACTCTGAAAAACACAGAATCTAGCTCATGGTAGGCTCATAAAAGTTGCATAATAAATGTTAATTGTTTTATTACTTTAATGACAAGATAAATGGGTTTTTGTATCACTATTACACTCATGCTAGGGATAACAATATTTCCTCTACTATAAATGCCACTGGATCTTTTCAAAACACATATTTACTATGCTTGGAATAACTGGGCATGCTTAATAAAATTAAAGAAAAATTATAAAACATTCCTTTTTTTTCCCCTAAGCAAAGTACCTAATTTTATACAATTTATGCACATTTTTAAATGTTAGTAATAAAAACAAATTATTTTACTTCTTGATATTTAATAAGACTTTAACTCCCCAAGACATGCATTACAACCATATAATAGATTCTGTCATCAATATGATGGTCTTGGCATTTTATATATTATGTTCCCACTTTAAATTAAGTCTTATTTACTAAAATAAAAACAAAGACGATGAACAGGCGCTTCACAAAAAAGGAAAACAATCAATAACAACAATGATATATCAACCTCATTTGTAACAAAAGAAACACAAATTTAAAAGATGACATATTTTTCAGTTATACTGGCAAAGATGAAATACAAAAAAAAAAAAAGGTAATACCTACAGTTGACTCTATAGAATACGTAGGTGGGAAAGGGGGTGGTCACACATATACTATTAACTGGCAATGTAAATTGTACAGCTTTTTTGGGAGAGCAACATAGTAACAGTCTTCAAAGCTCTAAAAATGTTTAGCAGTCATTCCACTTCTAAAAACTTTCTTAAGGACATAATTAAGCACTACCATGTAAGAGGACGATCACTGCACCAATGCTTATAGTAAAAAACCATAGACAATCAAAATGTCTAACACAAGGGGCCGGCCAGTTAGTTCAGTTGGTTAGAGCACAGTGCCAATAACACTGCCAAGGTCAAAGGTTTAGACTCCCGTAATGGCCAGCGGCCAAAACAAAAAAAAAACCACAGAGAAAGATGAGCAAATTGTGACATATCTTTCTTACGGCAGGCAGTGGGCTTCACCTCAATGCCATTCTCCCAAACCCACCTTAGCTTCTTCCTTTCCAGTGGGGTCTACTTCAGAGGCTAAAAATGTCAGACATTGCTTTTCTCTGTGACCTGATCAGAGTCACTGGAAACTGAGAGGAAATCTTCTGAGGGCTTTGGGGAAAAGTCTTCCTCACTGATAAAACAATTACGAGAGGAGAAATGGCCTTTCCTGCCTTTTAGGTGCAATTTTATGAAGATATAAAACTGGAAGTTACAAGAGCAGCTCTTGTGATTGGGAAGGGAATGACCCTAAGGCAAAAACCAATAAACTGGGGCAACACCAAAAAAAAAAAAAAACAGTGTCCTTAATGACAGCTCTGAACTGTGTTTTATGTGAGATAATAAATATCCTCAGTTTCTTAAGCCAATTATATTTGGACATGGTTACCTCTGGTCAAAAGCATCCTACCTGATATTAGCCACACAATAGAGTACTTCAAAACCACTAAAAGTTATGTTCCAGAGGTATATTTATAAACGGTAGGTGTGCAGTTAAAAAAAATTACAAAACAGTATGTTCCATTTAAAAAAACCAACAAATATGTTAATATGGATTCATATGTCAAGAAAAAGGTCTGGAAAGATACTCAAAGTTTTAAGAGTAGTAGTTATCGCTGAAAGACAGGATTTAAATGTTTCCTTTTTGCACATTAGCATTTTCTATTTTTTTCCTACAATGAACATGTATCACTTTAAAATTCTGCCACCCTTTCTATCAATTCAATGCAATTTTGGAAAGGAAGAGGTAGGACCCGTACTCCAGTCAGCTATCTTGAACTGAAAAGTCTGCTTTTTAATAAGGAAAAGTTTTCATTATTTTTTAAAAACTGTTTTGTGAAATAAAATTTGATACTGTCAGGCATTTATTTTTCAGTGGCTATGGAAGATTACAGTTTTCATTTGCTTTTGCTATTTAGGGGATTATATCATGACTTTGTACCATTTCGTATTGGAATTTCTTCTGTGAAGCAAAAACAGTCCCAAAATGAAGGATCTTCAGGTGTCATGGGAACAGCAGATGCTATTAAATCATTAAAGTTGAGAATAGTAAATTGCCTCTGGGATGGTTTAGAATCATCTTGAGATGGAACCTAAAAGGGAAAAAAATAGATTAATTCATTGTTATATTGCAGGTTAATCTTATTAATTTTATAATTATAATAATAATAAATAAGACCAAATTATATTTCAGTAGTATTAAATTACAATATTCTAGAATATTATTTTTACTCCTTATATTAGTATTGTCAGTGTAACAAATCAAAGAAAAATATGAAAAAGAAAACCTGGTTCTTGAACTTTTTGTATAACAACAGCCTGTGGTATTTATTTAAAATGTAGACTTACTGAGTCCCATATCCATAGAGTCTGATTCAGTAGACAAGAGTTAAAAGGGATCCCAAAATCTGGCAGGCACGCTATTTTGATAGAAATGAGTCACAGGCAAACTTCTGGAAAATATTACTGTAGAGGGTGGAACTGATCAAACTGCCACAACTACATAGATGTAGCTTGTTTAGTATCTATTATTTACTTAACACTAAGTTTTTTTTTTTTTTTGCAGCTGGCCAGTACAGGGATCCAAACCCTTGACCCTGGTGTTATCCATACCATGCTCTAAAACCAAGTAAACTAACTGGCCAGCCCCTATTTAATGCTAAATTTCAACTGTATCTTACCACTGTGAGATAGAGCCCTTGTTCACAACTCAATTCAGTATAGACCTTCTTTAATATTCTATACATTCTGGTAAAGATAGTACTTGGGCTTTGTGTAGTGTTTTAAAAAGGTACAGTACTTAGTTTATGTGATTTCTGTTTTATAGCTAAGCTGTCATCCGGTTATCTAATTTTATAGATGGGGAAACTGAGGCTCAGGAAGGTCAAACAATTCAAACAATTTACTCCAGCTCACAACATAGGTTAAATAGTAGACCTAGGTCAGGAACTCAGGTCTTCTGAACTGTACTCTAGTCTTTCCACTATGCCACGACTGTCTAAATAGGCTCTACCCAGGGAAATAAAAACGAAGTACTGAAGGTGCAAATGTTTCCAAAATTATAACGCTCTACGGCAACATAAGCTATTTGCAGGGAGTGTAAAGCTGACACTTGAGGACAGATAACCTGAGTCTGAATATCTTCAGATAACACATGTCACTTTTAACATGCTGTCTCTTTTTAAGGAAGATCTATGAAGAATTTTAACCCTTGGATTGATCTATAAAAGGCCTGGTCTGTGGCCTGCGCTATTTTTCTCGAAGCAATGATGCATATATGTTGATCATACCACATTCTCTCTCACGGATTCCCTAAAAGTAATAGGATGCATGTAGTTTTGATTATAACATATTGGTATTCCTTCAATAAATACTTCCTGTAGAATCTCTATATGCAGGCTAAGAATCCTTGACCCCGAGTTTTTTGTTTTTTGGCCTGCGCTATTTTTCTCGAAGCAATGATGCATATATGTTGATCATACCACATTCTCTCTCATGGATTCCCTAAAAGTAATAGGATGCATGTAGTTTTGATTACAACATATTGGTATTCCTTCAATAAATACTTCCTGTAGAATCTCTATATGCAGGCTAAGAATCCTTGACCCCGAGTTTTTTGTTTTTTGTTTTTTTTCCCACTCATTTAGTAGATAATAGCATAAGAAAATACAAGGATAAAAGTTCATGGAAGATAAGTATTACCTTTTAATTCTATTTTTCCACAAACTTGGAAATACCCTTGTTATAAACAGATTGTGATTGAAAGAATTTAATTGAGATCAATGTTATGCCACAATATGACATAAAGTCTCCCATATGTTTTACTATAAGTTTGGGAAAACTTTAGAATATTATTTTAAAATGGGGTGGAGGCTCAATTTGAAAGGTAATTGCATTATTCACCAACTATCAACTTGGCACCCTTATATTCAACACAGTCCCATTCACCAGGAAATAAATTACTGTAATGAAATACTGTTAAGATGACTGAGTAATTATCTTGAATTTCTATTGGAAATATTACTATGATAATACTAACAAAATTTTTTCTTCGTAAAGTGTATTTAAATGTGAAGAAGTAACATGCTTTTTTAAAAAAGTTTCTGTGAAATCCCAGATGATCTTAAAGATATGATGATGAAAAATACTTTGAAATCTATGAACCTAAAAAAAAAAAAAACAAAAAACCAACCCATAACCTGATATAATGCAAGTGACTGCTTCCATCAATGAAAAGCAAACTTAAAATAGATTCATGCTTTTTAGAATAAAGACAGAGAAATCCTAAAATCTTACATCCTGCTGATGTCTAGATCCATCAGGTTTTCTAAGAGCTACCGCAACAAAATGGTGCTCATCTATTTTGCTTTCCTGAAAAATAAAAGTAAATAGAGATTATTAAATATGTAAATCAAGATATAGTTTTGTTTACCTTTCCTAAATCACATTCTCCGTCTACACACACACACACACACACACACACTCACATTTATATTTCCACACCTCCCCTAAAACATTTAAGAAGTTACATACAACTCTGGCCCTTTACTCTGAAATACTTCAATATGGTTTTCCTAAAAAGATATTCTCTTACATAACCCAAGTGGTTGAACTTCAGTAAGTTTAACATTGAAACAATACTTTAATCTATTATCTGGAGCCAAGTAATAGTCAAGTAGTGTCGAGATACCACATTCAGTTGTCATGTCTTGTCAGCCCTTCTTTTGTCTTTTATGATATTAACATTTTAAAACACAAAGCCCACCCTCCCTTTAATAGAACATTGCTCATTTTGGGTTTGTTTGATGTTTCTTTTTTTTTTTTTTTTCCCTTTTTGTCTTTTTTCGTGTCCGGCAACGAACGGATCGCAACCCTCAGTGTCGTGCCCGGACCGGGACCGGCAACGGGATCGCAACCCTCGGTGTCGCGCCCACACCTCGCTCAGCCAGTGAGCGGGAACCGGTCTGTATGTGGGATCCGAACCCTCGGCAGGAGCGCCGCCGCGCTCCCAAGCGGCGCACTGTAGCAGTGCGCCACCGGGCTGGCCCTTGTTTTATGTTTCTTAATGATCAGATTTAGGTTGTACATGCTCAACCAGAATCAAAACAGGTGATGAGCCTGCACTATCTATAGGCACATGGTAGCTATCTGCCTCTCACTGGTGATGTTAATTTTGTATATGTTTAAAGTATACATTAACCAAAAAAAATCAGGTTGCAGCATTGGTCTGTAAGCATCTGGTTAACTACATACTATAGCTTATGAAAAGTCATGGCGGAAATTTTTTTTTTTTAAACAAAGTAACTTGAATATTTAGATTAAAAAATATCTAAGTTTTTAAAAAATGTAGCCCATAAGACATAGCTTTTATATGTATGAAGTATTTTAGTAAATAAAAATCACACTTAACATACAGTTACACGTACAATTAATGACTGATAGCTGAAAACTAAAGAATGTTACTGATGGATGTACTGTTTTGAGCACTTCTAACAGTATGAGATACTAACAGAGACTGTCACTTCCTACCATGCCCCCAAAGGAAAGTATTTTCCTTTGAACTAAAAAACAAGCTCATAATATTTATCATTTTAAACAAAACTACTCTTTTGATACATGGTCTTCCTCCCATTCTTTACACTGAATATATTGTTAATATGAACATTATAATACACAGATGTTTTTGCTATAATTACTTTTGGAAAACCACTCAAATTAGCAGTTCTGTAGTATCTGCATGGTAGGCAAATGTCAGAGCTAACTGTGCAATACCCAGTTTTTGTTCAACTTGTAGCTAAAATGCCAACGTGCCCTGCTTAATTTACCCATTTATCTTGTTACCAGCCAAAATTCAATGAGATTGATTTCAAAATAAAGCTTCACCATGTCTTCTCAGACCTTATCAGAATCATGTAAATATGAAATTTGACATAGCAGAACTACAGAAGCTATTTTATAACAGTTTTCAAACTGTGTCATGTACTTCACTGTTATAATATGCTGTCTTCTGACAATGTTAACTATTAATACTCAGTGTTCCATTAGAATGAAATCTCTATGGAGCTTAGAGACTTTGTCCTAAATCCTTTTTGCCTAGGACAATGCCTATAATAAATATCAGTTGAGATGAAAAATGAAATAGCAAGCTAGCTAGCCAGTTAAGCTAGCTGATTCAGTGCTATTGAACTTGAGAGGTAAGTTTAATTTTCAAAACTTTCGAAATTTTCAAGAATTTTCTGAGTCTGTAATTTTTATCCATAAAATCACTGTGAATACCAACATTTCCCTATCATCCCAACTAAACCCCAAGGGAAGAGGATATTTTATCTTTTCAGGAAATAGTTTAGCATTAGAGTCTGAAGAGTGGAAGAAACTGAAAGGTGAAGTGCTTGAGATTGCTAATCTGAGTGGATCCATGAGAGCCATACTATGGCTACTCCAGACAGGATCCTGCCTTCAAATTTCTTCAGTTGAAAAGTGTTTGTCTTCACACATATCTCTAAACCCTTGGGAACACAAGCCATGTTTAACTACAAACTCTCTTAATGATCTTTCCTCTACTTACAGGCCTCAGAAAGATGGGCCTACTGGTATGTCATCTTAGCAAGACCACCCTCCTGTACCCACACAAACACACTTCTCTTATACACAGGCTGGCTTAAGTGGTGGTCACTGGACCAGTTCGCTCTCTAGTAAGTACTGCATAGATGACCTAGCATTTCTCTTTATGTGAAAAGTAGAAATTCCATTTAACATCCTTTATATTTACTTTTGAAAAGAAAACCTGTAATGCTTTTACTTTCTTTAAATAACACAATATAAGTGGTTGTTCAGGTGATAGTTGTTGGCTTCCTAACAGACTTCAAAATATTTTGAATTAAACCTGAAAAACCAGATAGATTTCCAGCTAATGCTAATTCAGTTACCTTTTAAACATAAAATAAAACTTTTATTGGTCTAACCTGGAAAATGTACATAAGATAAACCACTTTAAAATATGTATCTTATAAAAATGAAATTTTTACCTAACAAGTTGTAAAGAATAAAGTACTTATTGGAAGAAAAAATTAAATGGAATTTACCTAGAAGTAAATTGTTAAGACAAGCTAGATCAAATCTATCCTAAAATTAATTATTTAGTTTAATCACAAAATTTCAATTAATTCACAAAATAGAAGGACATGCTAAAAAATAAAAAGAGAAAAGCTATGGTCAGAGAAGTAATACTTGCTAAAATAAAAAGTTGGTATTAAGATCTGAACCCTCCTCTAACTCAAAAACAACTGCCTTCCACCACTGCCTGCCATGCACCATTGAGTGCTTCCAGCCAGCTTTTCTGTATACATAAATGTTTTCCAGCTATAAAGATTCTTTTTCCTCTGAACATCAGAATATGAGCATTATGTCCATAACAATATGTATAACAAGTTTTCTCCATATCAATAAAAATTATTATTAGGCATCATAACTAAGGCTGCAGTAAAAGGCTAAAAACCATAATTTGCTTCAGTTTTCTCATTAGTTGTTTCTCATTTTCTTCCAGTTATAAAAAATGATGCAATGAACATACAACTTACTTTCTACTGAATGCAGGAGCTAAAGGTAAATGTTAAATGTACAGTAAAAACTTTTATCTGGCATCACTGACAATAAAGGATTCCATAGGAGAGAGTTTTCATATGGTTATGGCTTGCCTCTTTAAGTATGAAAACATTCACTAATAATTTTGTTCACAATTTTTAAAACTGCTACCCTTTAAAATATAGGATTCTAAGTAAAATTTACTCTGAATCCCTACCTTTCTTGGTATCCTAGCAGTTTTTAACACAGCTCTCTTTCTCAAAATACTTTCTGCCCTTTAATCCTGACACTACCCTCTTATTTTATGTCTTACTATTCTGGTCATTCCTTTCTCAATCTCCTCCACACTCTACCTTTAAATATTAGCGTATATTCTCAGGGTTCTGTCCTAGGCCAAAATCTAACCATAACAATAATGCCCCGCACATTATCCATCAGCCTAATCTGAAATCTCTTCAAATCTCCTCATCATTGTCTAGCCAAACTGGCTTCCTTTGGCTGTTCACAGACACAAAGCTCTATTTCAGGAATTTGTTCCCCTTCCCATTCTACTGTGACTATTCTCTATGACTATGATACACTTAATTATCACTTAATTACATTTAAATGTTATAGGCTCTTCTAGTATCTGTGACTTCACCTTCAGAGCCCCAGGACTAGATTCCAGTTATGTTTCATTTCAATGACCAGCCTCCACCAAATAATTTCATATACATGCACCAAGTATGGAACTTCTTAGTTATGAAAATTCTGATAAATTTCTTACCTCAAATGCCCATTCTTTTTCTTCCTCCCCATCCAGAAACAAACGTGTTTCTTTATAAACTTGGCCAATATCCAAGTTTAATGGAGATATATCAAATTCAAGCCGTTGCAATTCAAATCCTAGTCCAACACCAATGGCTTTTATGAAGCTTTCTTTTAGTGCCTACAATACAGAGAGATATTTTCTTAGTGTATTCAGTATAAAATCTACAGGTATTTTTTTTAAACTGAAACTCAATCTGTCTAATCCCAAATCTTTTCCAGTTTCCTATGAAATCGTTCATTTTTGTTTCTTATCCATTTAATGTCTTCTTCAGTAACACGTATTTTCATAAACTGAATCTCTATGTTCAGTTTTCTTTATCTCTTATTCATTTCCTCTTCATCCTGGAGATGTTTCTCAGGTTTGTACTATACATTACCGATTCAATTTTCTGCAATGACTAGTCTTTTTAGTTTCTTGTACAGATTCTATTTTCATTACTGACTTTTTGAGGAAAGAGAGATTAAGGATCTTGCAGTGGACAGGGTGGAGTTGCATTTTTTACTTGAATTTAGTAATGAGGCCAATTTTCTCCCAAACAACTACCAAAGGTTCATGGAGACTTTTTATCTCAGAGAAAGACATTTCTTTTAAGTCCTTTTCCTCTAGCCTCTGAAATCTCTTCTAACATTCTAAGTTTTAAAAATTATTTTATATAGTTGTTTTACTTTTAAAAAGATTGAGAGGAATTTGTGTCGTATAACTTCGTATAATGTATGCTATACGAAGTTATTACTGTTACCTATAATGATAGTAACAATACCTTCCTCATAGGGTTGTTATGAAAATTAACTTATGAAGAGCTTGAAGTAATGTCTTCTGGCATGTGCTAAATATTATATAAGTGTTGTTAAATAAGGCCTTATGTGTGAGTTCCTTTAACACAGAAAACATTATTCATAAATGGTGATAAATGAAATATCTTATTTTAGCTTTAAGAATAAACACTATCTAATTGAACATTAAATACAGATTAAACTTTCTTAAATGTCATTACAATGCTATGCTGCATACATAAAAATCAAAAAGTGCTCAAGCAATAACCCATTTACTTCAAGCACTATATGACCTACTGGGTCCTATTTTTAGCACAGATAATGGAATCATTACAGACTTTCATTTTCAAAATTAGAAAGAAATTATACCCAATTTCTATAAAACATATCCAGCTGAGTCCATTCATCCTTAAAGCTTCTGATGGTTTCCCATTCTTTGTTGGTAAACTTTCTTTTCATAATATGAAAGAATTCTGGAATTGAGCCACGACCTGTCAATTGAGGAAATACAGAATTAAAAACAGCTGCTCTATTAAAAAAAGAAAAACAAAACAAAACAAAACAGAACGCTGGTCTATTACTAAAACTGTTAAAGAAGAGCACAAAACAGAAAGCTACAGTCCAATCTTACTTTTGAATACAGTCACAATAATCCTAAAAGAAAAAAAAATCAGCAAATCAAAATAACTTGAGAATTAAAAGAATAATACCATGACAAGCAGGGGTTACCCCAGAAACAGAAGGGTAGTTTAATAGGAATCCATGAAATTCTGTTAATTATTAACTAATTAATCAGCAAAACTACACAGTTACATCAATAGATGCCCCCAAGAATTTTGATAAAATTTAACAGCCAAACCTGTTATAAATTCTAAATAACTAAAAGGAAATTTCCTATATATGACAGAACATTTACAGAAATCCACAACAAATACTGCTAAAACAGATCTACACCATTCTAGAGTGTAAAATTTTACTTTACTATTTAACAGATAAAAAAAGGGATGATTCTTTTATAGTAATTTTTTTTAGGAACTGGTAGAAAGCTGACAGTTGTTCTTTTATTCCAAGTTATTGCTGTGACTGGAAAAATAATATATATTTATTTCCTTCAAAATAACTGTTTTTCAACATGTTTTCTAATATGACTTTGCCGAATAAAAACATTTTACTTTCTATCCTTTTGTGGATGCTACTGTAAAATAACATCATTAAAAAAAAATCTAAAACATATAATTAGCTTCACTGTTTCACAGACAATAAAATATTACATAGCATTCTAAAAATAAATGACAAAAGACACAACTCAAAGAATATGATTCCCAGAACTAAGGGCTAAGATGCAAATTAAAATACATGGTAGGCCTCCTCATACTGTATTTTTCCAAAACATTTCAATTATGTGTTTGACTATTTTTCCCACTAGGCAGGAACTTTCTATCATCACGCATTTATTTATTCTACAAATATGCAGAATAGGTATAAACATTACACAAATATTTATTAAATCAATGGTTAAAAACACACTGGTCATGGTTCTTGCCCTCATACACTTACAGCCTAATAGTGCTAATCACAGAGTCTGGCCCAAGGTAGGTGAATCACAAACACTTACCAGCTGAGTAAATGAATATTAACTATTATTTGGTAAGTTACTTCCTAAATGCTCTACTTCCCTGTATCCTTAGTTCATGATTATTTTCCATTAAGCCTTTTTTTTTTTTTTTTTTTTTTTGTCTTTTATCTTTTTCCGTGTCCGGCAACGGATCGCAACCCTCAGTGTCGCCCCCATACCGGACCGGGGACCGGCAACGGGATTGCAACCCTCGGTGTTGCTCCCGCGCCTCACCCAGCCAGTGAGCGGGAACCGGTCCGTATGTGGGATCCGAACCCTAGGGCGGGAGCGCCGCCACACTTCCCAAGCGGCGCACTTATCCAGTGCACCACCGGGCCGGCCCTCCATTAAGCCTTTTGAAGACAGTCCCTCTGCAACTTCTGTTAACACTGCTTGTCTACTCTACCTTCCATTTCTAAAATACCCAACCGCACAATCTGACATTGCCAACTTGTCGACTACAACTCCTAAAGTGATAGCTGCCTCCACACTCTCTATGGGCACTTCTTATGAGGAAATGTCTGGAAAAAAGATGTCAAATCCCCCTACTTAATGCTTTATTGGCATTTAGTCAAATCACTAATTCATCCCATAAGAATCCAACAATTAGAATTCCATTATGATCATTCAGTAAAAACATCCAAGTGTTAGGTGCTGGAATATCATGAGCAAAATAGACATGGTTCTTGCCTTCAAAGGGAGTTTAGTTTCTCCTACAGTAATCAAATACTTTTCCTATAGTTACCCCAAGGTTAGAAATTTTTAAATATGCATGCTAATAAAACGTCAGTTCACTCACAAAACTGTTTATGATTCTCCCACTAACCCTACTTCAAGAATCAAAATAGTTTCTTTTTGTTTAGCCAGGAAATACTTGATGATTTTATAATGGTATATGTAACTTTAGATCAAGACAAAGATCCTCATTCATCTTCGAGAACTGAAATATTTTAAACTGTGATCTTAAGTCAATGGTAAGGGATTTTTATCCTTTTCAGGTTATGGATGCCTTTGATAGACCCCTTTGATAGTCTGGTGCTTATTCCTCAACACCTTACTGAAACGAACTAGAAGCCTCTCAATAAAAACTGTTTTGTTCAATGCACCATCACTAGTACATACTGGCTTGGTAAATAACATTCTAAAGAACACCTTAAAGAAAGTAAAGAAAGATAGCTTCCAAAACTAAAGTAAATCTGGAGATTTTTTTTAAATACTGGAGCACCGTATCTACATAAATCATAAAGTGTTTCCTCTTGAATGGATTCTGGCACAAATAGCATAAGTAATAACAACGGGAGAAATAGCTATCTTGGATTTGGAAGACAGCATTACATATTTTGAGTGGAACTGTAGTTTTGATGGAATATCCAAAAACCTAAATTTAAAAAAATATGCCAGTTGTCATGTATAGTGTCATTTTGTTTGTTGGTTTCTTCAAGTTTTAATTTCATAACCTCCAAGAAGCCCTCTGATTTTTAACAAAATACGACAAGGCAATCATGGAAAAAATTTTTAAATATGCATGCTGATAAAAAACTGATTAACATAAAAGGCAATCTAGCACAATCACTAGAAAGCAATCACATAACTCATTATGTACAGCTAAAAAAAGTGTATTTTCTTATACTTTTGAGAGCATCTTATTGAATCCACAAAATAAGAAATTTGACAGCAACATGAAAAGGTGATTTTGTAAATATTCAGACGAAGCACCACACCACCACACTGTGGCATTACAGTGGAATTACACAGTGGGGGAATATTCTGTTAAGCACATAGTCTACCTAGGAAATTTCAAGAAGTATCAGTAGAATAGTAAATCGTCCCTCAAACTATCTGAAGACAGCACAATTATTGGACATATAAGTTCGCAAATCCTCCTAATACCATCACATATTCCTGTCTATTGCAATGTTCTATTTAATCATCCTATCGAACATTTAAGAACTTAATAAATATATTTATAAGAAAGATAAAATGAATGAAAAACATATAGAACCACCAGCCAAGTTTAGGAAACCTGATCCTCCCATCTTATAACTAATGTTTAGGGAAAACCAGCATTAGATATTAACTAAGAGTTCTGCAATGATCTAATCAAGACCACAGAGCAACTAAAAAGTTTATTTAAACATGGTAGTAAACCTACAACAAAATAATTTACAGCCAACACTGTTCTGTACCTTTAGCTACTACTGCAGGCCCATGAAAAAAATCCTACTAGTACCAGAATTTTAAAGCCCACCTACATCAATCTCTCTCCAAAACAGTCACCAATGTGCATCTGTTACAGCATCAAGGGCTGGCCTGTCAGCTCAGTTGTTTAGATCATGGTGTTATAATACCAAGGTCAAGAGTTCAGATACCCTTACCAGCCAGCTGCCCCAAAACAAACAAAATCTCAGCATTTCAGTTACAGTTCACCATTCTTCTTCAAGAAAATGGGCCAGTTATTTTGGGGGGGTGGGGGGTGCAAGGAAGGGAGGGAGTTGAGCAATGTCCATCTGTGTGCTTGTTTCAAGTATCAAAATTTAGCTTTGGATCATAAATCTTATTAGAAATTCTAATAGTTTCATTTTCTAAATATTGGATTCCATAGTCAGATTACATATAGTGTTGCTTCTAAGGGAGGTGCCAGTCTTCTAAAATTTGAGTGAATATGTACACAGTAATGCCTGACTTAGCTTTGTCCAGCAATTAATCCATATACAAACCCAGAATAAAACAAAAACGTCTGAGTTGCCAGTACAGGTTTCACAAAGCCTCCTGTATGTTACTAACTGCTGTAGTTTTAATGTGTCCCCCAAATTTCATGTGTTAGAAACTTAAAACTCAAATTCATATGTTGATTGGAGGTGGCGCCTTGGAAGATAATTAGGATTAGATAAGGTCATCAGGGTGGAGCCCACGACAGGACTGGTAGCTTTATACTAAGAGGAAAAGAGACCTGAGCTAACAAGCACACTCTTGCTCTTTCGCCAAGAAGCCCTCACCACATGCTGGACCCTTGATCTTGGACTTTTCCGCCTCCAGAACTATAAAAAATAAGTTTCTTTATAAATTACCCAGTCTCAGGAAGTCTGCCGTAGCAACAGAAAACAGACTAAGATACTGACAACAGATATCTTTAAGCCCTCAATATGTGGACCAGAAAAAGAACTAGGTTGAAATACGCTGACCTAGGCTTGAGACTCATCATTTAAGCAGTCCTAAACTTCAGTTGCTCTTATATGTGTCTATTTAAATGTACAGATACCAACATGTACAGGTATTAGCATACAACAAAACACACCAACAGAGCTAGAACTACTGGGCTGCAAGTGTTATTCTTCAAAGGACTCCAGAGAGCAAGGAAGAGGGCCAAGATGGTAGGGCAGCCCCAGAGGGGACAGAGGACAGAGCATGCAGTCATTATTTTCAGGCCTGAAAATCTAGAGGAATTTGCCCTGCTGGGGTTAGGAAACATGAGCCGTTTATCCTTCCAACTTCTCCCTTTCAGAATGAGAATATCTATCCTATGCCTCTCCCACCATTTTATTTTAGAAGATGACTTGTTTTCTAGTTTCACAGACCCACAGATGGAGAGGAACTTTGCCCCAAGATGAATCTTACCTAGTCTCACCCATATCTGACTTAGATTCAGATGAGATCTGGGACTTTTTGAGCTGATGATAATTAGATGAGATTTTGGATTTGAGTTAATGCTATAATGGGTTAATAATACTTGGGAATGCTGGAATGGGGTGAATTTATTTTTTATGTGGGATGAATGTAAATTTTAAGGGGCCAGAGGATGGCCTACGTTTGGCTGAAGAGTGTCTCCCCAAATTCACGTCCACCCAGAACCTCCAAATGTGATCTTATGCAGAAAGT